ATTGTTTTCCCAATGGGAGCATTTGCTATCTAGGGATAGCCCATGATTACTTTGCCATGTGGAACAGTAAGATGCTTTCAATCTAATGTGCTGTCCACATTTTAGCATAAAATAATATTAAGGCATCCACATAATGGAACCGTCTGAAGATCCATTTTATTAAGCACTGAAAGAAAATGTGCGTGTGTTTGTATGTGCAAGGGAAATATAATCAGCAAATCTTTTTCACCGGAGACATGATTTCAGTAAGCATTTCACATAAAGACACAGCTATTTTGAAGCATAGTTCTTCGGATATGAGGTTGAAAAAATATAGCAAAAATCTTGCCTGGTACAATTAACTTATTCAAATTATATACACCCTATTCAAAATAGGACAAATAAGAAGCAGAGGTAGGGTTATTGCGTTTATTCCATTTTTAGAGTATTTATTTTAAATGCAATCTACTTTCAAGTACAAAGCTGTAGTGCTCTTAAAAGATTACTGTTTCAAGTTACTTCACCTACCTTAACAGAGCATGTAACCTTTTTACATTATATGATCAACTTTTTGACAGTGCAGGGCCAGCACAGCTAATGGAATAATAGCCTGCAGGGTCCAGCTAAATGATATACGAATATAATCAACCTTTGTGATGACTATTCAAAAGTAATCCCTTTAGCTTTCAACTGCAACATATATTTCAACCAGGCAAAGCCATATGAAGAAAATCTCTGCAGACTCCACTGATACAATATGGCCTTCATATTCCCACAGTGTGTTTGCTGCTTACAGTGAGTTTTAAATTTAAGGTAATGGCTACTGTGTATTCATGTGAGCATAGAACAATACCTTTGATTTGTTGGAGAAATGTTACATTAGCTACCAAGGGCCCTATTCAGTAAACTTTGACACAACCCTTATATATGGTTTACTGCTTATTCTAAATGGAATATGCCTGATAAAAATGCTTTGCATGGCCAAATTGTACAAATTCATTAATCTTTATATTCATAAAACCTTGAAGTTCAACTGCCTCCATTCCAAGCAAACCTAGTCAGGATACATGGATAAACATGTAGGCCCAATCTGCTTTTCAAAAAGCTTTGCATCAATTTTCATTTGTCAAGACAGAAAAAAACGTAGGAAGATCTTCTACGAGTGTGGGACATGCATGTTGTTGGCAGTCATATTATTTTCTGCTGTACCTTTATTACTACTTCATTACATCGTTCTACAGATTATATAACTAAAACCGTTTGCATGACCTTTAAAAATGCAAGTTAATTTTTAAACTACAATAATGGATTATATCTCATCAGCTGCATTACACCAACATGACAATCTAGCATGCCCTACTAAATCATGGGGAGGATATAAAGAATATGGTGAGATAGTCTTGCTTTCTCTCTCTCCCTCTTGTGACAAAACTACAGTATTGGCTGACAGTGGAATTAGCTGTATTAAAGGAAAATAGACTAACAGTAACGAAAACACTGCATTGTCTTATATTAATACTTATATATGTACAACATAGTAAGAGTTCACTCACGTTAACAGCAGTTGCAAATATGGTCTTGCTTGCATATGTGTACCTAAATACACGTGAAAACGTAACAGCACTGTTGCTGTCTTTTGTTTGAGGTATTGTATTAGAGGATTTTATGCCACTTAATCCAGTTATCTATAGTGGTAGAGTAGGAGAGGTACAGACTTTTCTTTTGTTTGCCATGTTACTTCTTGAGCCTGCAGAAAATTAGGGCATTCCTGCAGCATCCTGCAGCAGGGAGTTCTAAGGATGAGTTAGCCACGCACAAAGAAGCCCTTCCTTTGACTCCAAGCTCACCTCCTGCTGCTTTCAGTATATCCTACCTCATTCTTTTATTGCAAGAGACAGTGAAAAATGGTTTCTGGGTCACCTCCTGCATGCTACTCTCATTCTTAACTTTTGCTATCTCCTCAAAATACTACCTTTCTTTTTTTTCCAAAGCAATTTCAGCTCCCAAAACAATAGTCCTCTTATGATCTTTCATCAGTTCATGAAGCTTTTCAGTGGAGTTCTTGTTTAATAGAGTCCAACAAACTCTGAACAATTAAAAACCTGGATTTGAATGCTTTCCCATCACATGGGCCTGCAAGCTCAGGAACACGAGCATTGCCTGTTTCATGTCATTTAGAATCTTTTGAGAGAATGGTGCCAAAAATTCCTGCCCTCTCTGGAGTTAGTGATCATTCTAGCTTCTGTCTTTGTAGGTGCAGCTTTCATTCTCCTGTATGACTTCTCACTGATTATATTTTGTAAAGGACTAGCAGCTCTGCTTAGCCTTCTCCCAGGAACATAATGGAATAATGAGATTTTTAGGAGTGAAACACTCTTTAGACAGACACATGTAAACAGCAAGAAGAGAGATGCCAATTCTAGCTGCACTGAAAATTCAGCCAGACAATTTTAATTATATTTTATCAACAGCAGTGATAATGTGTCAGGAACATCCTATTATGATAAATTATATTTGCATACTATTAATACATATTAATGTTTATCTCTGCATTTTGCCCAACACAATATGATAGAAGAAGAATGCTTGATGGTGTGATCTGTGGTGGTATGTATGTATTATCATTATGAATATGAGATGCTTTTATTGTTCCTAGATAGCACACACCAAAAAAATGCCAAGAAAACATTTATGGTCCAGTATTCCATCAGTTATCCTTGATACGCTTAATATTTGCTGGGAGGGTAGAAGTGCTAATCAGACAATAATAGCTTGGTGTCCAAGTGTGAAGGCAAAAGGCCAAAAGGTGCATAAAAAAAGCAATTTATGCTATAATTCCCCATCATGTACACATCCCCACCATTTTTGCATGTGTCAGTGTATGTAAGATACATTGCTGTCAGAGTCACACTTTTATGTGTATTTACTTGCAAATATGCATGTTACTACACAAACGTAATCACATTTTGGGCTTGAGTCACCCATTTGTCTTGTACCACTTTTCCAACAATAATCTTCCACTGGAAAGAGCAATAATGATGCCCTGGTTTAAAGCTGGGTAGGGCAACATAATTCAGACCCTTTGTTAGCACTTTGGAATTGCATGAGGCTCTCAGCTGCTTCACAGTGTTTGAGTTCCTAAGCCAAACTGAGAAGTTATAGACTCTGCAGCTGTGAGCAGACTGCCTTGAATTCAACTAGGTTTTGTTAGGTTTTTTGCTTAGACGTGGTCTGTTAGTAAAGGAATTTCCATTGATGTACTTCAAGCCTGGTTTCAGAAAATGTTACCTGGAATAACTACATTGCTAAATACACAGTAAATCCCTAACATACATGTTGCCTTCATACAAAATAAGACTTCATATCACAACTTACAGTAATTCTCAGATGTTGTTCATAGTTTTACTTGTCTTATTCTTACTTGCATACAACTACAGATGAAGTCCTAGTTAGCCATTTTGCTTAATAAAAACCTATGATATGATGAAATGTGAATTTTATTGAGTATTGAGTGGTCCAGTAGTTTGTATCTGTTCCAAACATTGCATCAGCAGAGACACTGCTTTGAACATTACTTTTCATCTCCACCAGAACTGGATTAATATATTTATTTTGGACATTAAATTAGGATATTATAAGTACCACTGGTATTGCTGTGGCTGAAAGAAAGAGTCCACTTTTAGGCAGCACAGTACAAAGAGGTGTGACAAATTAAGGGGGATCCAGCCAAGGATTGTCCAGATAAAACTTGTCTACAAAACACAAGTTCCTTTCAAATATTGAAGAGACTGAATCTTCAATTCAAATATTGAAGAGACCTCAAAAAGAGATTAGAGGAAGGGAAATAGTCTCTCAAGCTATAAGGAGTTGTTATAAAAGAGGATGGCATTCCTCTGCTCTTCATGTCTACCAAAGGTAGAAAAAGACAAAAATCAGCTTAATTTGCAATAAATATTTATCTTGAGTATCAGGGAAGAAACTGAGCTACAAGATTGTGAAGCACTGGAATGTAGAGATTAGGGGTGTTGTGAAACAACCTTCGACAGAAGCCTTTTGGAATAGGTTTGACAAATACATGTCAGGGATGGACTAGATATATGTACACTTTCTTCATTTGAGGAGGTGACCCACATCAGTAGCTCCCAAAATAGGAAACCATCCCCCAGAGAGGGGGGAGGTTGTAACTAGGCAGAGGGAGACTTGCTGGACAGACACTGAGAACAGAGCAGAAAGTGCAGCTAGGAGGTGGCAGTTTAGCGCAGAGATAGAGCAAGGAAGGAACAAGGCTGAGCATCACAGATCACTGGAGCAAAGGAAATGCATGGCTGCCCAAAGCTGCAGTTAAGCCATTGCCTCCCAGCCACTGGCTTTTTTGATTACATCCTGTTAGGTGGACCCTGCTGAGAGGTAGCAGCATCACTTATCCAACCTCCTCACTCTCCTTTTGCTTTTGGCACTGCTTGCTTCTTCCCCTGGATAGTTTTCTTACTGCCTGCCATCTTTCAGTGCTGTCTTCTCCTATATGCATCTTCTTTGTTGGCTCCTCAGCTGGTCCCACCTGGAACTATCCTGCAAAACTGGCCTGGTTGAGAGCAGCTTCACAGGAGTGCAAGAAATAAGAACAGAAAACCCTATAATTTCTGTATTCTAAGATTATGACTTTTGTGGCTCACCTCTGTATTGTCTTAGATTCCTTCTTCTGTGACTTTTTACTGTATTGCACTTTTCAAATAAACCTTACAGGCTTTTTTACCATTAAGAATGTTGTGAGTCTAAAGCATTAATGCACTTCTTTTCTTTTTTTTTTCTTTTTTAATAACAGAACCTGATAAAGAAACAAGTGCTTCAGAGCCCTGTGAGCCTCTTCCAGAGACACCAGATCTAGATCTTTCATGGTACAGTATTTGCTGTTAATCCATAGCCTTAACCAGATGCTGAACCCAAATATAAAATATGTGGATATCAAAGTGTATATATACTTACAACATTTACTGGTTTTTATTTGCTGTTTTTCATTATAGAAGATGCCTGCTTACTTACAGAGAAGCTAGTAATGAGTACAGGAAGATCACTGAAGAGTCATGCAACCAAGTAGGAATTTTGCTAGGAGTTTTGTCATTTAAATGGAAGCACAGTGTTACAGTATAAATATCTGAGAGCTGGAAGTTCTTTTATGACTGAAATGTGGCTTCAATGTGTATTGCATGTTTTTAATCAAAAATAGCTGGTGTCATTGAAATAAATACAAAAGAAAAAGAGTAATACAGAATAAAAACTTTTCATGTTGTGCCCCAAATGCTTATTGCCTTTCAAAGCGTCAAGATCCTCCTGTTAAGATAATAAACGTACTTTATGCCTACTGAGTGGGAATCCAAGATGCACAATACCTTGTAAGATCAGGTTCTGAACGTGCCTGGAGAGTTTTCGTTAAACGCCAAATTATTGTCCCTTTCAGAAAAAAACAACTACAAGCTTGACACCTTATTCATAGGGCTATCAGTGATTTTAGCAGCTGTGCTTAACAGTTGCTGTTCAACTGTAGCTTAAATAGAGTAGATCCAACATGGGTGGCACATTATGATGCGATTTTTACCTAATCTATAACGCAGGTCGGACCCAAAGCACAACTGTTTGTTTAAAATCTGGTTGAGTACGCTCATGAAAGTGTTGAAAGCCTGTACAATCAAAGCATTTGAAATGTCATTGACTGTCTCAAGTGCAATGTTAATCTACAGGCACAGCTGAAATAACTGTATTTAACAATGAAAGTACATCTGGTAGAATACCTGTACATCACATTTTCAAAAGTGAACACGAAATTTCCCTTTGAGCAAAGCCTGTGTTCATTCACACAATCAGGTAAAAAAAATCTGCTTCAATTCTTTCTAATAAATAATCTGAAGCACTGATTTTGGAGTGTGTGTAGAGAATTGTCTCCCATTTCAAGCTGATGAAATTCTTGACTGTGGATTCCCCATACAATCCACAGCAGTCAGACTCCTGTTGTCTTCACAGTCCTCAGAAGGCATTTTCCAGCTGCCATTGCTATTGGTCCAAAGAAAAGTTAGAGGACAGAAGATGGAGGTTATCACTTTGCAAAATACATGTAAAAGCAGGATTTAGAACCTTTAACTTTTATCTGGTGCAAGCTTTCATAATTTCATGTATTAGAAAATCTGTTCTTTCAAACCACATAAAAAGAGCTTTCTGAATCCAAACAGTCAACCACTTGTTTCTTTAAACAGAGGTTTCCAGATTCAGCATTTGAAACAAGATCCATTAGACCTGTAATCAGTTTTTATGGCAGTCTTTGAGCAAACAATAGCTTTTGCCATAGTAATAACTCAATTCACAGTTTTCTTCAGGATTGCAGTTTGAGTAACTGGTTGACATGGGACAATAGAATTTCTCCCTGTTTTAAGGCATGGTAAAAACGTTTTCATTAAACGTTTCATTAACTAGCTCTTATTAGACCATTTTTGATGGTCTAATAAGAGTATACATAATGTACACATTTTGATGTGTATATGCAATGTAATTACAGTACCTCAATAATTTTATCCTTTACTTGGAGGTCTTTATCATCTGAACACCAAGCTTATTACTAAATGAACACCAAGAAATATTCATTTATAAAATGTTTTACAAACCTGAAAAATATGTTTCTACGTGTAATTATGCACACACATGAAGATACAAATCTCTTTGCTGAGGGTTAAAAAGCGGTGAACATTTTATGAAAACCAGAAAGATGATAAACAGGACCAATATAAACAAAAGGAGTATCCAGTCTACCCCTTATATTTTAATGCTGTTGACATAAATATATATACATATCAAACCAGCGCAATTTTGTGCAAACTCTTCTGATCTTGATAAGTATAGTATGACTGCTTGTAAGAAGTTGCTATTTTAAATAACTGGAATTTCATTTGACAAATTTTGACAAATTTGACAAAAGAACTTGTCAAATTCTTTTGATAATATTTATCAGAATACTGCCAAAATAAATGGTGTATTTTAATTTATCCTTCATAGTAAGAATAAATAACACAAACCAAGCAGACATTCTAGAAAAGACAATTCTCAATTTTTCAAGGAAGACAGGTTTTTATATTCTTGATGGTTTTTAACCTCATGTACATTTCTGCAGCAACTGACCATTCTGTGTACGTGTCCCAGAAGTTATTATGCAGTTATATTAAACAGTGTCCATGATAATCCCTATTTTTTGCCAAACTGGACATGTTACTAAGTGATAATTTTTATATGGTTGTGGAAAAAATTGTCACAGGTTAATCCTCTAGAGCATTAACTTTCCCATACTTTTTAATTATACTTTTTAGTCCTAAATCTTTTGATGAAAATAAGGGAAGTTTTATTAGCCTGTAATAATGTACATGCAAGCTGTGTTCCCTAGCATCAGGAAGCTTTGAGAGAAAATTATCTTTATTGAGCTAAATTCTCAGGCATTGTTCTGCTCCTCACAGGCATTTTCAGCAGGAAAATGAAGGCTCTGCTTTCTCTTTCAAATTAATGGGGCAAGGAGGCTAGGCAGAATGTTGTTCCATACTTTATTGTTTGGACAAGATCCTGGAACAAACCTGTCAGCTGTTAGAACAGCCCAAACTCCATGGGTCATGGGCAGGCCTTGGTCTGTCACCACATGTGACCCAGTGTGAAGTGCAGTGCTCACAGATACTTGGCTGCAGTAACGACTCAGTATTTCTTTAGATGAGAAGTCACCATTTTCTGAATTACCAATGCTTCTTCCAATATTTGTTTGGTGATCTCTTGTCAGACATAGTCCGGCTGAGATTAGAGTTAGTATAATGGAACTTTAGTCCTTTGGCTCTTCACATGAGAGATGCTCTAATTTCTTTAAGGAGCTCCCATATGGAATAGAATTAATCTCTACTCTGCCTGGTTCATTATCATTGCAACCCTTCCTCCAAGTTTTTCCAGAATGCCCCTAATGACCTGGCCCTTAAGACTTTGCAATCAGAAAGGAGGACTCCAGAGAGAATATGAATTGCAGTTGTAAATTTTAGTGTACCTGAGAAATTATAGGCATAATTTAATGAAGTTAGGAAAGCAGGTAAATTAATTTAGCCTATAATGCCAATTGGTCTGCTTCAAAACAAAAGCTTGTCAAACACATTACAGCAGATGGATCTCTGAATAGTTCTGAGGTGTAATATTGATGTCTCTAAAATCTCTGTCTTAAGGTATGCAAGACTGGCAATTAAGACTGCTTTTTGAATAGGGTTTTAGTAGGTTTCACTGTGGATGTGTCAGATGGTATTGACTAACAATTCATAGCAGAGGGGATGGTTATATCTCAAGAAGAATTCTGTTTATGAAAATCATGTTTTATGGCCATTAATAGGGTATATCTTGTTAATTATGATACTATACAAGGTATTTCACCTGTGAAGCCATTTTGAAAATTAATCTTTGAGTCACAGAAAAGTTATTGCCATTCTGGAAGGAATCTCTTCATCTCTAAATAGGCCATCCAAATATAGACCAAGAAATACACTATACATAATTACCAAGAAATAGATGGAATAAATAAGATTGATAACAGGCATTACTAAAGCCACATTTTAGTTTACTGCTATGAAGAAGTAGAATATAACTGAAAAAAAACATAATATACATGTAAAAATACAAGAAATAGGTTAAAGTCTTACGTAGTTAAGTGAGATTCAGCTATTACACATGAGGAGAGAACTCATTAGCCTTCAGAAGTGGTGTACATCAAGGCCTTTGTCCTGAGATTCAGTCAGGTATTTCTAAAGACAGATCCTACAAAGAAAAGAAATAGGACTTTTTTTTTTTTTCTCCAAAACTGTGTCTTGTTTGACAGCATAACTTCATAGCACCTCTATATTTGCCATATGCTTACAAGCAGATAGAATGTATAAGCTGTCTTTGAAGATAAATAAATATGTTAATAAATATTGCCATTTGTGAGTCTTCTTTTGACACAGGCATAACACTGAAGAGGGATGCTGAGCATGAAGGAGCCCAGCCGCTGTGATGGTAAAGTGGATTGCCAGGAGTTTAATCTTAGGAGATAAACTTTTCTTTCTAAACATGTAAGGTTTAGCTTTTAAAACTGCAGAATAAAAGCCCAGAATGACTGCTAGTCAAGCAAGGTCTCAAGCCCATTTAGCAAAGAAGAAAGAAAAAAAGATGTGAGTGTGCTTTTAATTGAAAGTCTGCTGTTTAAACTTAGCTCACCTGCAGCATGTGGGAGGAATTAATCTCAATAAGCAAAAAAGCAATTTAGTAACCAAAATCCCCCGTCCCCATCTCTGCTGAATTAGTAGGTTTGTTTCACTTGGGTTAACATTGTTTGTTTCATTACCACACAAAAGGCTGACAGACAACTCCGCTACAAGAGCAGCTGACTTGGGTGAGATGGCCCTGCCTGCAGTCTCTGGGAGTTGAGGGTGTGCAGCCCCAAAGGAATTGCTCAGCTCTCTGTAAGATTGTGATAGGGCAGGAGGGAAAGTCTTAAACTGTTCCAGCAGCTTCCCATTCTTCAGTTCTGCAGCCTGGCTGCCTGCAGTATGGCTGGGCAGGAGGATAGACAGCAGATTTTCAGTAGCACACAGACCGGCAGTGGATCCCGGCTCGCACTCAGCTTGGAGCCCAGATAGGACTGAGATCTTCTTCCCCAGACAGACTGATGAGAGGTAAGCCTTGTCTGTAGAAGGCAGCTTCTTTCAATACCAGCAGTCATAATTGGCATGCTTAGCCCCTGATCTGGGACATACATGCTCCTGTTACAGCAGTGAATCACCTTTGAAAGGTTGATTTCTTCTACACTGAGCTATTCTATCCCCACCAACATTGCTCCTCAGTCTTCCTGGAGTGTTTCAGAAAACATTGCCCCATCTGGTCACAAGTTTACTGCTTGTAATTGAAGTGGCTTGAATCTGAACTGAACACAGCAGTGCTTCTAAAGACGTCTTCAAAGAGCCCTCCCTGAAGCATGGTGGTCACAGTTATTTTCCCCTGTTTCTTTCATAAAAGTTGTCTGCCTCCCGGCTCCTCAGCATCAGTTGGTCAAGAAAATTACACACTCTCCCTTTTCTGTGCGAGTACCAGGAAATCAGTTTCCCTGGCATTGCTCTCTGCTTTCTGGGCAAGCTCATGCTAGGTTCACAGCACAGATTAAGACAAAATTTATTTATGATAAGGGAACTTCAGGATTACCTGGCTTCTGTCTCCAGGCCCCACTCTCTCACAGCAGCCTCTTTAACTTTTACATTCTGAATTGCAATGAGCTTTCATGTCTGCTGAGCCCCGATACTCTCAGAGGAGCTCTGTGAGATTAGAATATTTTGATGAATTAGAGCCTTTGCTTTTACTTCGCCTCCACCAGCCTCTGTTCTGGGAGAGCAGTATCACCAATGCATTCCCATTTTGCAGTGCATTTGGCAGAAATGGCTAAGCAACGGCTTGAGACAGGGACAGTTAAACAGAAAGGGGAGAGGATTTATGGCACTTTAAATTCTTTCTGTCACACTGAAATCCAGCACTTGCATTCTCTGTTTTCATGGGGGCAGGGGAGGGTGCATCCGGCCTTGCCAGCAACAGAGCAGATCATATACACAGAGCCAGCTATGCATGGACACCAGTGCAGGCTTATAAGATGTAGCTGCTCCTGAGCTGGTTGTGTGGAGGTTCTAAGGGCAGGCAGCAGCTCCCTTATGTGGCAGTGTGTTGGGTTTGTTTTTAAATCATGGCTGTAGGTCAGCCAAGCGGCTGTGTACTTGCCGTGACACCGGAGCCTGGGGCTCCACAGAAGCAGTACAATCAGTGCTGGCACTGCATACTTACTCTGAATAACTAAGGGGGGACACCACAAACAAGACTCACTGATGTGCCTGTAGGGGAAGTTCTCATTAGCCAGACAGTTGAAAACTCTTGTGTGAAATCAGCGTGGACCAAGCCAGCTCAGTCTCTTGAAACACAAACTTGCCGGCCAGCAAAGGTGGCTCTAGCAGGGGGAAGAAAGATGTCAAGGATCACTGTGAATATTTTAAGTGCAGTAGGAGCCAGTTAGACTGTAAGATGTTGGGACTAGGAACCATCTTTGAGATAACTTGTGCATAACAGGCTTGGCACAGTAGCTGGGGACCAGGAGTGCTGTGCTGGCACAAGCTGTGCCCATGCACACACGCCAAACTGCCTCAGAGCAGGTGATGTTCAGTCAGAGTTTGCTGGTTGGGGTTACTGGTGTAAGTCATGTTCCAGGGGTTTGCTTTCCTCCTCCTTCCTAATTAGAAAATTGCAGGATAGTGGGACCTGGCTAGAAAATCTGTGCCAGTAAACTTTGTAGTTTATTCAAAGTAAATGAAAAAACATGCTGTGAAAGTGAACAAAGTAAAATAATAATAAACCTAACCTAATATATTTGCAAGAAGTAACCCCCTCTGTTTCTCCCAGATCCCACATCCCACTGTAGGGAGCTGTGGTATTTCCATCAGTGAGACAATGTATTTTCCCTTGAAAGCT